CAATGACATTCACAAGGTCTGTTGAGCTCCATTCTTCTTACTGTCTGCCATTCTGATCACACATTCAAAGAACAAACTCCCTTCCATGCAGTTTCACATTCTAAGTTCATGCTCTGTTTATTGTCCACCACAATCCTTGAACCTGTCAGATTCAATGCCCTGCAAAATACAACCTCGGCTGTGTGCTTTGAGTGGAATGTACACCCATTGTTCCATGATGGATAATGTTGTACGTGGATGTTAAAAGGTGAACAAAACCAAGCAGCTATAGAACTGTTTGTCAGCATTAGGACACAGCCATCAGTATGGGGAATACTTTTATTTCATTTACTCAAATATTGCCTCAAAGTACTGTTAAAGGCCAGCTGCAAAGCTTCATAGCAAATATTACTAAACAGTCATGCCACATATGTTATGTGTCTTCATAAGATTGGAGTTCACCAGGACCACTAGAGTGACCAAAGCTATTACAAAATATCCTATCTCAAATTACCATCCAGAGAGCATTCAAGTCCATTCTCAAGTGTTAAGATATTTACAATGTTCACCAGTCCAGAAAGAAGAGGATGAGAATAGTAAAGTGGAGATTATATGATGAAAAATTATCTTCTTTAGCACAGAAAAAAGTGTTGCAAGAAAACAAAATGTTTAAAAAAAAATCCAAAATGTTCCAAAAGGAAAATATGGTAACAAATCAAAATCCAATAGATTTTGATTTTAAAATATGACTCCACAACTTTGTGGACACCACTGTGCAGGTACCTCTCAGGAACAGCCCCTCAGCCAGAGCTCCTTGATAGCAATGCCCTACAACTACACAGATGCCAGAGCACTCCATGTCCCTCTCTTGTGCCTTAACATATAGGACAGACATCTGAGCTGCACTCCTGGGAAGGCAAATCCTTCAGGCTCTGTAGTATACAGCAGTATATTACAAATGCAGTGTACATTGGTAGCCACTTCAAAATTAGTCTTCGAGGTCATGCCATAAAAAAATATGTGAAAACATCTATCTCAGCCAGTGTCCCTTTTCCAAAAGAGGCCAGTAACAGATGCTACAACATGCAGAGAACTATGTGTGCCAGTACACCTTTCTATTGTCAGTCTATTAGCTACACAGGAGTAATCAGACACAGATACAAGATCCACACCTCTAGATTTAGTAGCAACAAACAAAACCATCCTCCAAAAACTTCTATAGATCTTTTTGTGACCCACCATGTCTCATGCCAATGAGTTCTTCCTCTGTCTTACTCCTGAAGTGAAAAATTTCCAGTTAGATCTAACTTAATCAATCCTAATTGTTAATTAATTTTTGCTGTGTGAGGTAAAAAATAAAATATCATTCCATATTTATTTTATGTTTTCTCTTAAAATTTTTTCAGGGCATTTTCCTCTGAGCTGTGGGCTTCTGTTCAACCTTTCTGTATACTTGAGACCATTCTGTTGGTATTGCTTCCCTTCTCTATGGCATTTCTTGTCATACCTGTTCTTCTAGGGGTGAAGAGTCCACAGTGTCCAAAAATGGATATGCTAGAGATTTATGTCACATATTAATGACATTTTCTGGCTTGTTCCTTACAACTCCCTTAAGGATTATAAGTGCTGTTTTTGCTCCTCTGATCCCATCCAATTATTGGGCTGACATTTTCGGGCCTTCTTATGGTGGAGATAAAAGATAGATAGATAGATAGATAGATAGATAGATAGATAGATAGATAGATAGATAGATAGATAGATAGATGGATGTACATAAATAATGTCCTCTCTCTCCATCTGCCCCTCTTTCTCCCTCTGTCCTACATGTATGTCTTCTGTACTTAGTATACTGAATGTTATGTGCCAGTTTGTATTTCAGGATCATAAGATCACCCTGCAACTCTCCATATTCATTTCAAAAAGTTGTACCTTTTAAAACCTGATAAAAGAAATCGTTAAAAAAATCAATATAAAGAAGACTTAGCTGCCTTTTCTGAAGAGTCAGCCCTTTCTCAGATTTGTCTGTCTTGAAGAGAAAAAAAAAATTTAGTTGGCTACTCTATTCTTTACTAAACATGTGCTGTGTCCCTTATTACTTCTGACCTATGGAATTCGTAGAATTTTTATAACCCAAACTTTTTAAGGAGCATTGTCATTCAAAGCAGTCCCTGTTCCACATCCGTCCCCTGGCTGATCAACCTAATTTTCCCCAACCTTATAAAATCCAAGGGTCAAACAAAGTCAAGGAGCACAAAGATTTCCTAGAATGAGTCAGTCAACTCCAAAGAGAATAACCTTTCATCTGCTATTACAAAAATCTTAATGTGACCCTACAGACAGACAGCAAAATCATATTGCTTGCTCCAAAGGGCCATAGCAGACCTCGATGATCAGGACGGTATCTACATTCGATACCGTACTGATGGAAGCCTATTCAACCAAAGGCGACTGAAGGCCCACATCAAGACCTTAAACCATCTTGTCCGGGAGCTGCTTTATGCTGATGATGCTACCCTGGTCGCCCACATGTTCCAGCACATGGTACATATTCCATCAGTAGATGGTACTACATATGTGCTACTACATCCCACTTCTGTCATAAAGATATGTTATCAGCTGTAGTTTAAAGCAGATATAAAAAGCATAAATAAGTAGGAGGAGGGACTATAGTTTACCCTCATTTCATGTGGATACAATGAGTTTTGTAATAACTTTGGGGGGCAGGTCTAACAAAATTTAAAGTACCTAGAAGTAAATAATTTACAAACTACGATTAAGAGCTGTATAAAAATCACAGAGTAAAGAGAAAAAAGATCATTCAGTTGGAAAAATCAGTCACAAATGCATATTTCTTTCTTTTATGTTTCACCAAATTACATGAACTGGAAAATTAAAAAAAAAAAAACAACAAATCCCAAAATGTTAAGTTTGCATTCCTGAATCATCTGTTCAGGTAGTGAAAGTCTCTGGAGTTATGCTGATTTATAAGCCCAGAGGATCTGTCATCCATGTTTTTATTTAAGTACTGGAGTCCATCATCAATGTTGCATTTCAGGGTGTTTTCAACATTCTGACGTTGAAAGATGAAACAAAAGCATCCAATAACGGAATGGTTACAAAATATTTGCCTGTAGATGGTCTATGAACATTTGTGCCAGTGGGTGTCCTGTATTGCTTTTAAATAAACGAAGAGAAATAGAAGACAAGTTTTCCACCTTACTGCCCCATAACTGGAAAAACATGATCACTTGACAAGAAGATAACGTGTAATGGGAATAGTATAAAACCACAGAGATGAAACAAATACAGATATTCCTTAGAAAAGAACTTGGGAATGTTTGAAACGGCATTGTGGATCTTAGCTTGCAGCTTGCTTGAAATGGTCCCACTGAAACCAGTGTCAGAATCTCCCTCTGATTTGAATGCATACAAATCCTGATCTACTCCAAACTTAATCCCTGCACAAGATATGTAAGAACTTGCATTATTATACATAGGACTTATCCATGAAAGGCATTTCTAGCTCCCCACACTGCAAACGCTTGCATATTGAATGAACAATGGTCTGCATATCCCAGTAAAAGTGCACTGTCCACAGATAATACTATATTTCTTTCTGACCTACCTACCAAGGCAGATTTACTCATGACTCACGTAGAAAATCCATGCTGCCAAATGATGGGATAAGCCTGTGGCTAAGCGGGAGGTGCTGTTGGCACAACATAACAGGAAACAGTGGGTCAGAGGTTGCTCCCCCAGGATCTTGCAAGGGGTCTCAAGGATTTTTCCAGGACACTGAAAGGTTTAAACATGGCTCTATGTTTGTTTTGGTTTTCTTTCCTCCCAGGATAAAACAGATAGAATTTGAGTGGGTTTTTTGGTTTGGTTTTGGGGTGAATTTTTTTTGTTCTTTTTGGTTGGTTGGTTGTTGTTTGTTTTTTCCTAAAAATCCATTCTAAAGGGTCAGAGTAATTTGGGGAAAATATTTCAAGACTCAGAAATCTGGAAATTATTTTCTGATACTAAATATGCACATACTAGTAATTATAAGTCCAGTTTTTCTGTGGAAACTCCAAAATTGCTGCCATATCAAATATCCTTCTAAGTTGATTTAGCTTTGGGTAATAAAACAGAACTGCTGATATACCATAATTTCCAGGAAGACTGAGGACACAGATGGCAGAAGAAAATGGAGCTGTCAGGAACTACGATCATTTGTATAGACAGTCATACTATCTATCCTGATGCTTTTCCCCCAGTATCATCTTTCTGCAAATGTGGAATGCCTGAGAACTATTGGTGTTCAAAACAGAAAAATCTGCCTGGTCTTCTCCATACATAAGTCATTTGGAAGCCACGGAAGAAACTGTAAAAAAAGTATATTTAAAGTAATATTCAAGATAAAGGTGACGGATTTACAAAAATTGTCTTCTGCAGTCAAGGATAGTAATGAGAAATACCATGACATCTGCTCTATAACACTTTAAGAAGTGAAAAGTCTTCAAATTTTGGAGTGGGGGTCTATAGCCAAGAACCGTATTTGGCAATAGATTCACATCAGCTCCTTTTTCTCCATTTAAGTTCAGCACTATATTTATAGGCATCAAGCTATTTTACAAAGTGAGAAATTTAACCTAGTTATGATTTTCTCTGCTGAGATTAAATCCTTAAGAAACTAAAAAAAATAAAAATGTTTTTAAACCGTTCTCTCAAAGCTGCACAGAAGATTTGCAACAGCAACATTGTCAGAAGCCAGGCTTCTGTCACAGTCTTGCTCTTTAGCTAAAATAACATCATTTAAGTTAGGATGTTTTTAAAACATTTTAGGGTATTAAAAAAAATAAGAAAAAGCAATAACTTACAAGAGGTAATTTTCATACAATCTGAAATCAACCAACCAGAGGATAAAATCCCAGAGGATATAACCCCATATCTTCCTTACATGCTTTTAGTGACTTTCTCTGATCCTATTGGAATGCTCAAAACAACTCTTTATGTCTACCTTTTTCTCACCACCACAGGAGTCAGCCCAACTCAGTGACTTTCAAGAGAGTTAGAGACATGTACAGACAGGAGAGCCTTTCCAGGTACTGTAAATGAGCAAGCTAGAGATCTCACGTTGAAGAGATAATGAAGGAAAAAAGCAACAGGAAAGAGAGAAGGATGTAAATACAAAGAAAACAGTCAAGTAACTTCAAAGAATGTTCTAGAATTATATATATGTTGGCCCAACATATGTTTTCTTTATTCAAAATCTGAAATTGTTGCTCTTGGATAAAAAAATTCAGAGAGTGTGGATGAAGTGAAACATTAGGTGATCTCCATTAAGGTCATTAAGCATTAAGGCCAAAATAGAGTGAAAGCAGTTGCAGGATTTGGAGTTACATGTGCAAGAACTTCAGTCACCATATTTTGATTAGTCAAACTATGCTTTCCACCATTTCTAAACACAGGCAGTACTTTTCTCTGCATGCCAGACATCTACTTTATAGAATCCCATTAGTCCATCAAAGCAGATTATTAATTTATGGGCACTATAGTTTTATGGAAGCATCTGATATAGGAAGCTAATTTCCTTAGCTGTCCTATTTCAGTCTTAATGTGTTTCTTCTGCAGTGTAAAGGAGAAAAAAAAAGTGCATATTTGAACTTAATAAAATACCATTTAAGGACAGAAGAAACATTTGTAATGTGATTGCACTTGTGGGAGCACCACCTTCTCCACAGAAATAGTAATTTCTGTGAACAATAATACTGTGAATTATTTCCTTAATACATTTATTTCTATCTGACATCTATTGATTGAGGAAACGGGTTACACAACTAAGGACATAGAGGCCTGGCCAAGTTTAAAAAATTTTTTCCAAGTGTTGATACTGTTGGTATTTCAGAACTGCTCCCAACTGTTTTAAAACCAGAACCATTCAAGGTATTTTATGACAGGACATAAGGGTGGTATGACAGGAAGGAGATCAAAAGCAGAGTAGATTTTTCCTAGACACAGCATTTGCTCTCCAGTCTCTACAGAACTGCTTTCCCATCCCTATCTGTACCTACCTCCCTTGAACATCACCGTGGAAATTGGAATTTCACCCCAATTTAGCAAGTGGTTGATAGACACCATTGTAACCCTCCAGAGTGCCAGAGAAGTGTTTTGAAGACACAAAGTCTGAATTTCCAGACAGAAAACACAGTATGTGTTTGCCCTTCTGATTCATACATTCAGTTGAGACTGTGAGAATACCTCTGCAGGGTAAGGAATGAAAGACTGCTTTGTTCCATCATCCTCTTTCCCAGCCACCTGCAGGACATCCCGACATCACTGTCACAGGCTTCCCAGCACAGGATGTGAGCACGTGCCTGGTACCACTATTTGGTTTTTCAGCTGATGCTTCTTCATCCGCAGCAGTGGAGGTCTGCAAGCACAGGTCTCTCTCTCTTTCTCACTAAAAGTGTGTCACAAGGCACACTTCTGGGATCTGCAGATCCAGCCTCCCTTCACACCTTATACTCCTTTTATCCCTTCACTGTTCAGCATGTTTGTCTTCTTTTCCTTCCCGCTTTATCACATACACTGAAAGCCAGCAACGGTTCAGATAATGAGACACTAACTCCAGATGGTCTGGGCCAGCCTTGCTCACTTTTTCTTTAAGCTGTTTCACACATTTTATAAACTTTTCATACATTTTCATTTCTGTTGAAAACAGAGTTCCTTGAGGTTACTGTTGGCTCTGGTAATTCATCAGCATAAGCTTAGCAAGAGAGGGACTCTGGGTGTCTCTACAGGGTCAATTCCAAACTAAGTATAATGCCTTTGAAAGTAAATAAATGCTAGTTTTCTAAAATGTATTTGCAAAATGAAGGTTGAGTAGTATAAAGTAAGAGGAAGTTTATCCATGACCCTAGTATATCCCTGCTCATTAACTGGTACATTACAAACTTGCTATGACATATAATCCCTCCCTTTTTACCCTTTGTATGCTTTGTAAAAAGTAAAAAAAAAAAAAAGTAACAAACAAACAACAAAAAAACAAAAACAAAAACAAAAACAAAAACAAAACTCCACCAAACAAACAAACAAAGAAAAAAAATGGCAAGTTCAGATTCAGAATTTTGAGCTCCAAGGTTTTCCACAGGTCCCTTATATATGAGGTTTTCAAGCTCTCTCAGGAAATCCATTTTGCGGATAATAGAAGTCTTTATAACTCCAGGAGAATAATTCCTTCTCATCTCTGGCAGAGGAAGGACAGTGAGATGCCCTGTCTGGCCTGCATTGTTACCCATATTATATCACTGGCAACACTAAAGAGCCATGAAAACAGTGCAGCAAATCCATCAAACTTTTCATATGTATATTGACTTCTAGGCTGTGCTGCACGCTCAAGGCTAATGTGTATGTGTGTACGTGTATACATGCACACACACATATTCACACTGACATATGTAGCATATAGGCAAAGAAAGAAAAATGTGCAGGAGCTACTTGAGGAGGAGACACAAGTAGCACTGGCCAGAGCAATCAAAGCATCCCAGTCACTGACAGATGGAAACCCACTGAATATTCTGTCCCTACAGGACTCTGGACAGCCAGATATGCTGGGGCTAGAGGGTAGGGGGTGGAGAACACCACTGTAGGGTTGCAGGTAAAGAAGTGAGATGTTCCTGTGCATAGGTTATAGGAGAAATGATGAGTCTGTCTGTCTTTATGTGCTGGATCCAACACACTACATTCATTTGCAGATCCCAGGAGAGTGAGCAGGTTGTGAGTGAAGGGGGAAGCAGAAAAGCTATAGTTGAAGAGAGAGAGGTGGGAAGAGTCTGGAAGTTACACATTTTAGGATTAGCTCAAATACAGGAAGGCTTGGTGAGAAAAAGGCAGGAGACATCACCATTCCCCTCCCCTCATAAACGCCCACTTCTTCATTCCTCCTCTTCAGCAATAGTCCCTTCTACTTCATTCCCTATCTCATCCCTCAGCCTGTGCTCTCAAAAGACCCAGGCAATACCATCACAAAAAAGTTTTCTCCTTCAAAGACAGGAGCAGAAAAAGGCATCCTGGTTCCATTAGAAGTTCATAGTATTCTGAGCCCTGTGAAAAGACTTGGACACCCAGCAGTCTCTGATTGAGACTATGAACAGCTGGGATAAATCCAAGAACTGCCTTGGAATTTATTTTATTTATTTCGAAGTCTAATCTGTCCCTGGCCAGCAGCAACAGAGGGAAAATATGATTCACAACCACCTTTTCTAGTGTGGCAAAAGACTATTCTTTCTTCCAGGTCAGAGATAGTTAGCCTGTCCCAAAATAATATGGTTTTTTTTTTCTTCTTTTTGGTAATTCATTTTTTGCCTCTGCTCTTTGATATCAATTCCAAAACTCCCTTTTATTTCATCAAGTATAGGATTTGCCAGTGTGAGACACAGTGTAAGCCAGCAGGCTCCCCATTTAACATGCATGGATAGGACATTTCACTCTGTGACTACATGTCTCTCCATCTTTTCTAACTGAACCAGTTAGCACAATAGCCACAGTGTGTGGAACAACTCTGCATGGTGTGTATTTTAACGGGCACTGTAGCACAGGGGTGGTAGCATGACAGGTACCACATCACCTTCAGCGAAGCTGAAGGCATGTCAGCAATTGTGGTAGGTTGGTTGTCACATCAGGATGGCTAGCCATCCTCACTGAGCAAGAAAGGAGTTACACACCTGATTTTTTGATAGGCTTTGCCATATGTCACAAAGTGCTATATTTTCCCTCACATTTTTTCAAGCAGTTTCCTTTATGTCCTCTCTGGTAGTAGACAGAGACATTTATTCAGTGTACAATGACGCCTAGACAAATGAGGAGCAACGGTTTTTGGCACCCGTGACTTCCTACAATGCTACACTGAAATTCACACGGCAGCCTGAACTTCCAGCGTATCTACCTGGCAGTGACAGCCCCATCTACCCTGTGATTTATGGTGCTGCTCTGTCAGGGCCTTACTGTCATAACCCCAGCAAAAACACTAGAGAAATTTAGATACCTGCTTTTGCCAAATAATCAACAGCATCTTTTCAGACAAAGACAGGAGAGGTTAGAAGCTACTCAGTAAATTATCCAAGTGACTCCTGGCTTTCCATATCAAACTGCTGCAAAATGTTTCCTACATAACCAGGGCATTTCACTGGTAACAAAACATGGACTTGTGTTGACTGTAATTACTCAGACATGTTTTGCACACTTTGACCAAAAAATAAAGCTGTTACAATGTACTTCTTATAAGCGACCTGTAGTAGGCATTACATAAATAATTCCTTGAGCATGTAATTGAAAGCTGCTTGATAACATTTTCTCATGACCAATGTAATTCACTTTGTGTTACAAGAGGGACACTACTATGACCCAGAGCACTACACTTCAACAAAACAGCTATTTTCTTGTTCAACAAACTGAAAAACAAGTTATACAGGGCTTTGATTGGCTATAACTCTGCATTATTTTCCATTTAAATACACTTTGGAATGTGAAGTTGTAAGTAGAGTCAACAGGTTATACCATATGACATCAGACAACACGGAAGACGAGGCAGAAGGGACCTATCAAAGCCCAGATAATTTCTTAAACAAAATAAGCTGATGCATTTTAAAAAAGCTTTTTTTCCTACATTGTTTATTTGATGGCATGGCAATTTGCTTGTTGTTACTTCAGGTGTATAGTCTCCACCAAAGTACCTAAAATAGGTTTCATATAACATGACTCCCTGGGTCATGTGATAAGAGAATGCATGTGAAGAGGGGTAAAACACGAATGCAGCAGGAGTCACAACAATGGCACATGATGACAGGCATGGAAAAATATAATCATCAGGCAAAACAAGCTACATTTACATCAACATCTCAGACAAAAACATGCTCCTTTGAAAACAGGACATACTTACAAGCCACAGACACCAGATCTTGTAGTAGTAGCAGCTACTGTATCTCAGTGCTCACGACATTTCATTTCTAGAAGCTGGATGTTGCTGGAGCATGGCTACTTGCAGGACAAAAGCATGTTGGGAGACTTCACAGTGTGTCAGTGAGGCAGTCACTGAAGAGAAGTTGCATTTCCAACTGAAACGGTCATAAATGAATAACAACTTGATGTGATATCTAGTTCCCATAGTCTTTTCATTGACATGTTTGTGTCGAAACGTAGTCCAACCACACACCACTACTTCTCCATACAGATTAAATTCCAGATTTAATAACCTCAGTACAGTTACTGTGCTGTAAAGACTGTGCTGTAAAAACTGTCTGGTTTAAATCTGCAATGTCTCTTTCAGAGAGTAGACTCAGTTGCCGTACTGAACTCCAGGGTGATCAGGGCACCAGGGAATGTAGTGGCAGGGCTCTCCTCTTTCTGACAGGACTCAGGAAGGAAAAGTGCTCTCCATTCAAGCAGGGACTAACCTTCTACTAGAGATAGAGCTGGGATTTCTAGAGCACTGCCTTAACTTGGCTCATTTTGAAATCAGTAAGCATAATTCCCAGTGGCAGCAGAGTTAGGCCAGTGAGATTCAAGTGAAACTGAAAATTAACGATGCCTGTAAGTGCAAGACAGTCTTCTGCATACAGAACAGTGCCTGCTTAGTTTTTGTCACTGTTCTGCATCAATACGTTTGCGTATTTTCTTTGAGCAAAAGTCATATCCTCACTATTAATGTAAAATGCTAGAGACCAATTACTTCTTACTATTTATATTTTGTTGGGTCTGTACAGGTTTATTGAAAAAGTGATCCTGCAGAAAGACCTGTGAAATATAAATTAATATAAATGAAATATAAAAGCATTTTTTTCTCACCTCATGTCTCACCTGGAAATTTCTTCTTGTGCTAGACAAAGGCTTCACTGCTGGAACAGGATGCCTGTCATAATAACTGAAGCACACCATGGGAAGGGGAGATCAAACTGTTCCCTGTTTTTTCCTTTCCTTTGTCCCATACTTTCTCTATTTTTCTTTTCTATGTGCACTAATGTAGATTTTACTGATCAGTGAGAAATCCTCTTAATGAATGAATCCACTCTGCAAAAATTGTATTACATATTAATTTTTTTATAAGTTTCATTGGCCCTATATTAAACATAGTCTCTCCCAACTGTCAGTCGAACACACCTTTAGATTCAGAGTTAATATCTTTTGAAAGGGAAGAAAGGACTTTCTTTTTATTGGATTAGCAGCAAAAAAGTTCCCAAACTCTGTAACAAAACTGAGCCCTTGCCACATTCACATTAAACCACATTATTCTACATCTCAAGGATAGAACCTACTGCAAATTACCATTTACAGAAATAATCTGCTCCATTGTTTGAAGCAGTTCTCCATGACATTAGGGCAGTCCCAGACCTCAGGACACTTTGCACTGCAGAGAGCCTGAAAGAAGATGTGCAATTCAGCTTTCTTTCATGTGTTGTGTCTCATAAGAAAGCAGGAAAGATTTTGTGCAGAAATTCCTGGCTGTGACTCTGCGCAGACAGAGAGAGATCAACAGAATAAAAATAAGCTTTTTATAACCCTAACTTTGCAGTTTTCTGCCACATTTCAAATACTTTCCAACTTTGGATGCTTGCCCATCTTCTCTATAACGCTGATTCGCATACCTCCGACAGTTCCATTGATTGGTTTTGGATTTTTATAATGACGAAAATATAACTATCAAACTACCCACTATGCTATGATCAAAGAAAAATATCATATGCACCAGCAGACATAAAATAGCTCCAGGAAAGATTGTTGCTAGTGGATATAGCCCTCACTGCTCATATAAAGCACAGTGCTGCCACTGATTCCTAATAGCAGTAATCCTCCCTGAATGGGTTTATTAAAGTGTCCTCAGCCTTAATGTGGGCTGTTAATGATCTGGTGATAACAGCCTACTTTGCTCTATCTAGTGCTTAACCCACACCAATTTCTGCTGTTGCATTTTTTTTCTCCACATTTATCATTCTCTGAAAATGTTTTTAATATTCTTTCTTGCAGCACAGAT